GTACAATCTATGACCCACAGGTATAATGGACTCTGCGTAATAAAAAGTTACTTAACCATTTACAGCTAAAGCTGTCATATTAAACGAGTTAATTTTATAGTCAAGATGTCTGGGTTTATTTCACGTATGCAGCTGGGAATAGAAGGTAAGAATAAAACATGACGTTTCAAAAGCGTGTTGACGTTTTTTCGGCTACTGGTTGTGCTTCCAGATCTCAACTTTTACTACTAAACATCAGAGCATTTCGTTCTTGTAAGAGTACGGCCCCATTTTTTGTGAGTGCTGTTCGTCCATTTCCAACCATATTTTTTTTAATTGCTACACGTTTACTTGCATGTCGTTTTATCAGGTGCATTTTTTTCAGCCATCTCATAAACAAATAGGAGCTACATGTCACTTTATAGCCTTACCAGTTCGCATGTGTCTAACGCAAAGAGTGACTCTTTGTGCTTTACAGTTTGAACATGTGTGAAGATTTGTGTAACAGCATGTAATTTCTTAATAAAGCCTAACATATGTTCTGTTGTGTGCATGTTGTGGTTATGTCTTGCAAGGGTTGTTGTTGCTTCAGTGTGCTATTTGAACTTTTCTAATCTTCTCTCGAGCTATTGTCATATCGCTTAGCAACCATACTGCGAGTATTTTTTTGAAGTCACCTAGTAAACATTAGTCTATCATACATTTTACTTAATGCCCATTTTTTATAATAAAATCTGGGGTTGTGCATGCCAGAATCAAGATATAATACCTATGAAGCACACGTCATTTGAGGACTCCAGAAACGCCGCCCATTTTTAAGCGATCGTAATGATATAAATTACAAAAGTTCTGAAGGATGTGCTCTGCTGTGAAGTATTACATTCCTGTATAGCTCACCAGTGTTGAACTAAATTGGAGCTATCTATCACACAACGTTAAGTTGGGACTGTTGTCAAAGTATCTTGGGCCATGGTACCGAACAAAGTAGAGCAGTCGCAGAAATGAATAAATTTTGGTGTCAATTGCAGTTTCAAGAATGCTCGAGCTTTCTTGGCAAGAGTGTTGGCTGTTATTATGTTTTAGATCATTTCTATACTACAAATGCAACCCAAAAATTTACTTTTAAAAAACTTGAAATAACTAATGTCTTGGCTTCCAATAACTGCCCAATAGAGATTACTTATTCGGTCGAAGGTACTGCTAAGCATTTTCAAAAAAGTCGCAGCTTTCCCGCAAAGGCGAAGCAATGAACGCGATAGCAACAGATTGGAAGGTCACGCGCAGAATGGCAAGCAGATTGAAACGTGTCCCGCATTTTTCACGCACAAATGACGCACGAAACATACTCACAGGTAGAGATGAACGCGAATAAGCATCGCAGTTGTTAATTCGTTGTGTTTGAAACACGCGCCCTTTTCGCAAACAGTACTGTGCAACGATTGCAGTGACCTTTACTTATGCGCCCGGTAACTACCACAGAATTGTTCTGGTGAAAGCCCAAAGCCAGCCAATACGTACGATTGTCCTCACCGCGAGATAAGCGCGCGCGTGAGCGTTCACACTGCCCCCTCTCCGCGGGGCAAAGTACGTGTGGGAGGTGAGAGCGTGCGCTGCCATGTCGAGATGATTCGGCGATGCACGCTCATTGCACGATCTTGCTAGTAATGCTGAAAACACGGTAGTTCTCCCCGAGGTGCCCGTCACTAGTGGTAAGTGGTAGATATAAATAGCGGGCCGTTTGAACGTTTCAGGAGGTGCTTCTTCGTGGCTCGGTGGCTAACGCGTCGCACCCACATTTCAGGGGTCCCAAGTTCGATTCCGCACACCGGGGCCTTTTCTGCATTATTTTTCTTTCTTGCGTTTTGATATATGTTGGTAACTATATATATATATATATATATATATATATATATATATATATATATATATATATATATATATATATATATATATATATATGGTGAGTGACGGCGACGCCGATGCTGGCAGCGAAATCCAGCCAGGAGTATCCATATAATTGCCATCGCAATAAAATATTTTTTTGTGAAAGGTTGCATTACAGGCTAAGATATTTCAAATATGACTGAAACCTATTCAGGCACCTTGTGCCAATTCTAACCTTTTGTAAAGACACAGCAGATATGTACGTGTAAATTTGGAATTCCCAACAAACATGAACGCCATCTATTCAGAAAATAAAGTTATATAACCTGCGTAGAATCTGGACAAACATTACCTGAACCAAGACAGTTTTTTGGACGTTCCGTTTCTCTCGCATCACATGGTTTTACTCTTGTCGAGCAAGAAAAAAAATTTGATCCTAAGCTGAGTTTACTTGGCACACTTTGCATGCGCTCAACTTCCGGAGTAGCCCTTCTTGCCATCCACTCTACCATTGCTTGACCTGGTTATATCATCACAAACTGTACATATATCGCAGACTATCACACATGAACAAAAAGTATAATGAGTTATCGCTTACGGAACTATTACTAATTGTGCGCTCTTGGAGTTTGCTGGTTTTTTGAAGCATAGACGCGTTTCCACAAACCTTAAACGTAGTAAACCAGAGCTGTTAGTGGATGATGACCGTGAATCACGGAGTTGTCTTTGTTTTCTTGTTGGAAATTTCAAAAAGAAAACTGGCATTGTATCTGTGCAGTGTCCACTCAAAAAGAGTATGTGGAGCTTTGGTCACACAGAAACTCTCGACCTGCACACCGCAAACAATGCCCTAAAGTTTTTTTTTTTATACCTCGTACACTGCTTTCAAGAAAGAGGAGCTATACATTCCCTTAAGTGTAACTGCTTTTTGGGAAAGTTTCTATTCACTGTACATATAGTAGTAGTGCAAAACTGAAAAAAGAAAGCAAGCAGAAAAAGAGGAGGACAGGAAGACAGGTACTTTGCTCTCCTGTTGTGTTTCTCCTTCAAGCTTCGCACTGCTACGATATGTTTATCTGCAAACGTAACTTAAGACGCCGGTCGGAGATGTGTTCATGAGGAATACCACATAGCGTTTTGATTAGATAGTCTGAGATTATGTGTAACAAGTAAAGAAAAAACGGGGCAAGCAAAGTTGACTATTAGGTTACAATACCCATGGAAAAAAAAAATGCCCGGAAGCACAAATGTCAAAAGGATCAAAATGTGGGCCAGTTGGTAATTCATTTTCTTCGTTCAGCGAACTGGGAGCGCAGAGAAAACACAAAGGACGAAGCGAGGAACCACACAACACGAGCGCTCATGCAAAAGGATCAAAATGTGGGCCAGTTGGTAATTCATTTTCTTCGTTCAGCGAACTGGAAGCGCAGAGAAAACACAAAGGACGAAGCGAGGAACCACACAACATGAGCGCTCGTGTTGTGTGGTTCCTCGCTTCGTCCTTTGTGTTTTCTCTGCGCTCCCAGTTCGCTGAACGAAGAAAAAGCACAAATGTCATTTCGCAAAAGTATATCTTACCGTCTCGTTCAGAATCAAAGTCGGGTGAGACAACAGGTAAGAACATACCACGAATGCACTGAAAAGAAGCACTTGCACCAAAGAACCATAGGCCTCGAAGTTCTTGATACAAACAAGAAATCGCTGAATTGCGAGGAAAGTAAGCTGTCTACAAACAGTACAAGCTCCAGTAATAAATGTCACAAATGAATATAGCAGTAGTTGAAAGAAAGATAGAACTTTGAAGTCATGCTAAATTCGTGCACACACGATGGTCATACCTTCAGGGCTGCAACTCAGTTACAGCCTCGAAGTCTACAGTCACAGCCTTGCCTGAAAATAAAACAACACGTTGAAACTTTAGGTTAGCTAAATGACACCCCATGTTATAGAACTTTCCAAATATCACACTTGTTACGCATACGTCACTGCCTACACTGGACAGGAGCTTTGTGCTTTTTTGACAACGTAATGAAGATAAGTATATCTACTTATACAATTAGGCAGGGCTAAATTTAGGTTCAAACAATGTTTGGTTTGTATAACTCAAAATAGAGAAGGAGACTACAGGCATATAGTAAAAGGTCTGGTCAGTGGCTTCAGCTACGAGTTGAAATGCACCATAATGTGCCAGAAACCTTCAGATTTGATCATCATACTGACTAAGGTGCGCTGGGCCATCTCTGTGTACAAGATGTATCGATTTGAAACCAGAGTGACAGTTGATAGAATGCTCTCGGCGCACAGAGGTTCCGATACATAGGTGTCAGAGAGTCGAGCTGCCAGTTTAAGCCCAACTTATATTTCTACCTTGGGCAGGTAGTTACCGCAGATCCACCCGTGAGGTTGCGGATACTAGAAGAAAGGCGTGTAAAGCATTTGGCAACCATTCCAGAATATGGCTGGCAGTTTATCAGTACATTTAAGAGAACGGTATATGACTGCTGCGTTTAACGGCACTTATTTGCGGGGCGGAAAAGTTGACGCTTAGAAAGAGGGTTCAAGCCAGCAATCCATGTAAATGAAATAATAGCAGTAACCTTAAAGGAAGAGAAGATAGCAGAGGAGCTCAGAGAAAAAGCGTTAAGGATGTCTTAGAGGAAATCAACTAGTGCGCATTGATATGGCATGTAGAGACATTGTCTCGTGGCATGTAGCGACATTGTCAAAAATGTCTCTGTAGAGACATTGTTGCGGTTTCTCGAATCGTTACATTCTGTCTTGATGCCAAGCGTGGTAAGACGGAATGTTTTGGCGAATACTGATAGGGGCTCGAAAAACATGAGCATGTATGCATATGCGGAACTGTTTAGGTCTCAGTTCTCTCTGTATGGTGTAAATATATCAGTTTCAAATAAATCTTGGTGTTGGAAGGTGAGAGTATCACACTATGGCTATTATAGGAGCTTCTGGGGGATACCGGACTAATGTTTCACACGAGTTCTTCAGCTTACTTCCCATTGATAGTTTTAAAAGCATATGTTATTTTAGGGTGAGGGTGAAGATACACAGTTGTCTAATAAGCGATTAAGCTAGATACGCAAAGTGCCTTTTTCTTTTTTGTTCTTTTACGCTTTCAGCCTGAGGCTGCCGACGACTTGAGCCGACAGCCTTCGATGATCACTCTGCGTGGTGAGTCGATGTACGCAAGCCTCTGCAGTGTCATGTAAACGACGAGAGCAGCGGCAATTCGCTGTAACCACTCACTGCGACGGCGTGAATTCGAGTCCTCAACTCAACTCGACTCGACACGACTGACCGGGACGACACGCTCGCGCTTCGAACTTAAGCGCGCAGCACTCGCGATTGTGTTTGACGCAAAACTCAATGAATGTGTTCACGGTGGTGCGGTGGTCGACGACGCGTCATAGGCATTTTCCTGTTCCACAGCGTGGCGATATTCGTCAAGAGGAACGGAAGTGTTCACCAGACATGCATTTGTTTCGTTTTTTACGTGAGTTCCAGGAGCAACGAAGGGTGGCAAGGTTATTGGTAATAGTATATGTACAGATTTTCCGAGTGAACTGCTTCCTAATACCTGCCGTCAGACGTTTTTATACGAAGCCATACCAAGCAGCCCTGTTAACTAAAGTGCATTTGCTGCATTTTGAGCCTTCGTGGCCTTCACAGCCTTTCTGATTGCTTGCTAGTGTTGTAATTGCTGATGCCTCTCTGTTTGCTCATATACCACCTTATACTATGTTCGTAATGAATCATACATATTTGTTTTATGTTTTTACACCAATACAAAGTTGATTGGGCCACATGGTTCAACAAATGAGAAAACAAAACACACACTTAGTATAAACGGACACTCTACGTCTTCCTTCTTTTGAGGATTTCATACGCAAATGTGGTAAGATATAGGACTGGTACATGGCCTGTTTTGTTCCGGTATAACAGTTTTCGATTCTCATGTTGCCAGGTGCTCGTTTCGCCTGTAAACCGGCATAAAATTAGTTGCCATATTTTCGGGTCTTCCTAAGTCGTCGCCGAGATGTTATTGGCTGTATAGCAAGCGTATCGTCGGGTAACAACTGAATCTTCGTCAAATCAGGATCTGCAAAGTACACCACCAACTGATCATCAGTTACCATTACCGCTGTTCTATTTGGATATAGTTTGTAAGATGAGTAATGGAGCATGCGTGTAGTTGGTGTTTCGATGCTCTGAGTGACATCGGTAATGAAAAATAAATACGGAGAACTATATTTAACGTGATCTATTTAGTTGGTGTGTACCTAGGCAAGTACACCATGCACGTAAACTTATTTTTCTTCGAAGACTGGGGGAGGAAAGTTCACTGCCATTATTGTAGAATCGTGTGCGTATTTGTTTTTATGTGCGCACATATGCTTGCGCAAATTGTAAAATTTTTGAAATATATTGACGACAGCGAACTCAGACAAGTCTCACAGTAAGAGGATAGCTATTCTATTTTTTTTTCATCTGTTTAGTGCTACTATATGACGCCCAATAAATCTACCACTGGGGACATAGTGCTCGCAAAACCTTTGTAAATTTTCGGGCGTAAGATATTTAACAAAAACGCCTTTACAAAAGCTCATTGAATTACAAAGTGGTACTACTCTCTGCAAAACTTGCCTGGAAACAGGTGGACAACTTCACAAGACGACCAGATACCATGAGCTTTAGAATAAAAGGTAACTGAGAACGCACAAATAGCATTTTATTTCGAACAGCACCCCAATTCAATGTGCTCAAATATAAAAGAAAGTTATAAATGAACCAAGGCATGCCCATCGGCTGAACGAAACACGTGTGAGTTTTTGTTATTTTTTTTACTGTGAATCATTCGAAAAGATGTCAACGGAAATTGTACGACTTGAAGATTTGCATCGCATCTCGGAAACCTTTCACACCACAAATGAGAGGTAAGTAAATGTTTGCTCACCGTTCAAACTGATGCGATGACTTAAAGCCCGCCTCAAAAACAATGCTTATAATAAAAGACAACCGAAACCTACAGCAAAAAAAAAAAGAAACGGCCCATTTTTCTAACCACTGCTAAATTGTGCTATACGCCACTGGTGGACGATAAGGAGAACAAATTGAAATTAAATTGTTATGGAGGCGGAAATGTTGTAGGCCCGTGTGCTCAGATTTGGGTGCACGTTAAAGAACCCCAGGTGGTCGAAATTTCCGGAGCCCGCCACTACGGCGTCTCATAATCATGAAGTGGTTTTGGAACGTTAAACCCCCCATATCAATCAATCAATCAATCGAAATTAAATTGTTAAGAGTATGACTACCGTCGTTCGATAGCTCTTGCTGTCGTGCTAAACCCGAGTGGTAACTGCTACTGGCGAATTGTGGATGCCCTGGCAACAAATTTATGTATGCGATATGCTAGAGGCCCGTTTATATAGATTTAGGTGCGCATTAAAAAATATCAAATATTCAACGTTTCCAAAGTCCCCCCCCCCCCCCCCCCCATACAGCGTCTCTCACAATCATACCATGGTTTTAGGACTTGAAACTCCGAGAATAAGTCTTATTAAGGCAGGGTGTCGTAAACATTTTTAAATATACCTTAGTAAAATATTTTGTCTGCGTCTTTTCCATGACCATATTATGCATAAGCATTGGTCGGGGGTTATCACCGAGGTCTGTTCATTGCCCTCTGTCATAATTGATCGGTCTGTGACACTTGGTTTTATTCTCGCCTTTTATCGGCCCCACCAAAGATGATAACATCATGCCTGATGTTCAACTAAAGACTCTTCACTGCCCCTTTCGCCTTTGATCACTCCTTCATGACAGGCGCCAAATATCAATGAATCAACCAATCAATCAGTCAGTCAATCAATCAATCAAGCACTTTTATTTTATTTTCACACTAAGAGAGAGGAGACAGGACTAAAAGTTTATACAGCTTGGCAGGGGTCCTGCCCCTTTTTTGCAAATGGCAGCTGCACATTGCAGAGACTTAAAGAATAAGCGAAACACACTTGAAACAGAGTAATACACAGTGCGAATTACCATTTCAATAAATACAGCAAATTTATATGCCTATATATATACTTTATTTGAAAATGCACAAAAGATGAGCAGGTAATGTGAGTGACAGCGATGACTGACAAGCGCCTTACATCGTTACTTAAAGGAACGTAGTGCTAAACAGGGAAGTAAGTGAAGCCCTAAAAGGAATTCAAAAAGACAATGCCGCTGGTGAGCATAAGGTAACAGTGAACCTGCTTAAAGATGGTGGAGAAATGGTGTTATAAAAACTGGCCACATTTTATTCAAAGTGTCTCTTGACAGGAATGGTACCAGAATTTCGGAAGAGCGCCAACATCTTTTTAATCTATAAGAAAGGAGGCGTCAAGCACTTCGAAAATTACAAGCCCATCAGCTTATTGTCTGTTCTCCACAAACTATTTACAAAAATAATAGCTATGTAACGAAGGCAGGGGACATGGAGCTCGAGTGTAGAAAGAAGAAGGAGACGTGCTAGTGATATAACGTCTTTCTTCTACATCTTTTTTCTCTCTTTTTTGTAAGCAATAGTGCAGTTGTCGTCCATGTTTTCTTGGGCAATCCACCAGAGTGGGTATGTGCCATGGATTCTAGGCTACAAACAAACAAAGAAACACAGTGATTGCAGGCTTGCATCCAGTTAGCCCTTGCGCTAAATAAATCTCTCGTTCAGCGAGTTAACTCCTGCTTGTTCAACCCCCCATTTCAGCTAATGCAATTAAGGTGACATTAGAGTTCAATCAACCAAAGCACCAACCAGGAGTTTGTACAGACCACTCCACAATAGACCATATCCATACTATCGATCCGGTAATAGAGAAATCTATATCAGCAACGAATGGTTGTTTTGCTCACCGCGAGATGACGTGACAAGAGAGTGTGGTTGCTCTCGCTCCCGCTTGAATGCGCTGCCAGCAGCCGCTGGAGCACGGGAGCGCGCAGGTCACGCGCTCCCGTGTTCCCATTCATAAAATATAGATTCTGTATAACTGGGAACCGTTTTTTTTTTCGGCTCCTGTAGCCTTTTCGCCAGCTGAGTGTGCACTGGGAGCAGCGTCGCCTTTCGAGAAGTAATCATCAAGCGTAACCTTATACGGCGTGTCGGTGAAGCCATCGAGTCTTATAGGAAGACGCTGATTGACACAGAACACGAACTACCCACCAATACGTGTAGGCAGTGTACTTCAAGAAGGTGACTTCGCATCGCTAGGAAGCAACGCGCTCGGCAAAAGCAGTGACACTAAATCCGCGAAACTTGAGCTTCAGCGACGATCACATGTCGGCTGGTAATGTTCCGCCTTAAACGCTTGCGCTTATTTCTCCCCTGGCGGAAATATTCACGGGTATGCATTTCCTCCACTTCCCTTCAGGTATACCAGTAAGGTCGCGCCTGCCAAGTGTCTTACTCTGTGCGCGAAACGTCTCGCGTTTGTGATTGCGCCCTTACAGAAGGCTGGTAGGCTCTGTTGCGTTGTGACGCCATACCACGAACGGGAATGAACGCGAAGGAGCTGATGCCAGCAGTGAAGTTCCGCTGACTCACATCATAATGCCCGAAAGAGACAACTGGCAGGCACGCATGGCGCATCTACAGCGTAAGTAAACTCGTGTTCGATACCCTGGCAGTTCTCGTCGGAGAACAAAGGTTCCGAGAAATTGATTATGGTGCACTACGCTCTGAGGAAGACCGGAGTTCATTTTATTCATCACTATAGTGAACCGATCACTCGAGATTTTGTGCGGTACGAGGCTGCATCTGTTCGCGCCGGCGTAAGTGCTGCAAACATGAATGCGCGTACTAGATAGAAAAATGCATACATGTCATATTCATGCTGCGCGGTAAAACATTCTGTACAGTTCTGAATCTGTTGACATAAAAGGAAATGATGGCTGCACACTTAAAAACAACGGAAGACACCTTGCCGCAACACTATCAGCAGAGCAACAAAATCTACGAAAGAAAAAAGAGAACATTACACGTTTTTGCGCGTATGTCAGTTTTCCAATGCTATACGCAGCGATCTAGCTATTTCTGTGAGTAGGTATAGTTTGGTCCCAGGTGAAATTTCTATTTAGACCAACTGAACATTTCTCAACAATGATTACCTTGCCCTCCCAAATTCAACGATAAGACCTCTATGATTGGAGTACCTCATTGCTATCGAAAGTCACAGTGCAACTGCAATGTCAACCAAGGTTGCGAGAAAGTCTGTCTGAACATAAGCGCGTGTGAAATTGTGTTGCCAACGTGCAGCATATAACTTACACAAAAAAAAATCCTATTGCGTATCGCAAGCATGCTTGGATGTGCGCAGTAGAGCAGAAAAACTTTGATTGAAAGCTATCAGTGCGTCAGGGCTGCTTGACATATTGAGCTTAAACATAAAAATCATTCCCGTAGGCATGCAGTCGCAAACATCGACAGTAAGAAATAATTCGCTCAGCAACGTAAGCAAAACCGAAATGTATTCCTGAATGTACAAAAACATGCTCCGTATACCTCTCCTTCATCGTTGTAAGTGGAGCCATCCTTTACTTGTGAAACGCACTTCGCCACGACGAAGAATATACGTCATCTACGCTTAACAGATATTAACGAATAACGATATGTCTTCTCCGGTCGGGTGGGTCATCGCTATGATGCATTGCGAACACTTGCCCATTATGGTGCGATGGGAGGCCGTTGCTCCAAATGGTCACTTTACCTGTCGTTCACACCCGCCGTGGTGGTCTAGTTGCCAAGGTACTCGGCTGCTGACCCGCAGGTCACGGGATCGAATTCCGGCTGCGGCGGCTGCATTTTCGATGGAGGCGAAATAATTGTGGGCCCATGGGTTAAGATGTGGGTGCACTTTAAAAAAACCCCAGAGACCATATAAATCGATCAATTAGCGATCGTTTACTGTATTTCACTGTGATGACTTTACTTTTACTTACTCTCTTTGACATGTACAACCATGGGGAGAAGGGCGCAGCTGTCAGGACCTTGATATACGAGTACATGTACACAATCTGCTTCAAACTGCCCCTGATAGTCACAGAGAAAAGCTGATGCCGGTGTCTCCCGGGTTGGTGTGAACCCCTCCCGAAAAAGATTCCTCGCTACGCCCCTGCACAAAACTAAAGTGATGTGCAACAGCCTCGGCAGCAGACAGCTCTTTGCGACAGGTGGATAGACGCTACAGGTTGAAAAGGAATATCTCTACGTGGGAC